GGTCATACCACCAGTAAAGTCAGAAGAAGAACCCAGAACACTCCAAAGGCTGAGTTGGTTATCCCAAAGTCATTAAACATGACTGAACCCTAATAATTTGTACAAAAATATAAAATGTAAATAAAAATACAAACAAACAAGCAAACAAACAAAAAAGAAACCAAACAACCTTTAACACCACTTTTGCAACGTGAATACAGATCCGACGTTCACGTCGCCCTGGGTATAGGTCTGACAAGGCAGAAGTCTGTTTTCCAACCCAGCTGCTAGCATCCAGAAACCTTCAACAATCTCAAGGTAATACAACATGGACCCTTAAATTCTGAAATGTTCTCCATCCATAAAGACGGGCTGTCATAATGGAACATTGTGTTCTCCAGGTAAGATAAACATTATGACGTTTTCCAAGGAGGAGCAGAGGATTATTGCCCAAAATTATGTGATAGATCTGATTAAAAAAACCAGAATGGAATATGCAGGATCTGTGGTGTAATAATCATTTTTACAAAGTACTTAGGCTAACACAAAACCATACCTCCATTGTCCAGTCATTGGGGAATGTCCGATACTCATGTATAAAACTGCACACAACCAATAAAAATCACACAAAGTTGTTTACATCAGCTTCCATAGACTCATCCAATTTTGTTGAGATACGAATAATACTGAGCTTTGTAAGTTCAATGCTGGTATGGTAAACAATTAAAAGAACATCAATAACTAATGATTTATTAAAAATAAAGTACATATAAAATATGAAATTCTATATCTTATTTTATATCTTTGGGAGACAGGTTACGTCTTCTGTCTCCTCTTTCTCTTATCTTCCGCAAGCACTGATGAAGAAACACAAGCATTTTCCATCTAAGTAAGTTCCCTGGGAAAGCCTGTCTCTAAGGTTATATTCAAACCAGTTGAAGAAACATGATGAGCGCTGTTTCCTAAAAATAAAGAAAAAGTGTGATCAAGCATTCTTATATTATTTCTCTCTCCGTGCTTCACTCTGGAGAAATTTGCTTGGAGAAAGCAGTCAGTTCCTAGATTCAAGCAAATTTCTTCCTTATCCCTTTGCTTTTCAAAGGTTGATTTAAAAAAAAAAGAGCATGTGAGGGAAAAAAAATGAAATGTAAAAAGACTATATAATTTCTTCCTGAAATAACATTCAAGGTTACCAAACTCACTGAGGTAGATTCCAGGTCTCCTGATGATGACAAATATCCTGAATTACGTGTAAATGTACTGTAAGTATTTTGATGCTCTGTCCTTTTCTAATATCTTCTGTCTGCAAATATCTTGCCTGCAAATCTCCTGAGTGCCCTACTAGGGAGTCATTATACTGAAATATGCTGCTGTACCCAGATTCCCTCTACTTCAAAAACATGTTCATCATGGCATGGAAAGGATCATGACCAAATGCTGCTCTTCAGAGTTCCCAGGCAGCTGCTGGTGGGCTCAGAGCCTACTGAGCTCTGAAATTCTGCACTGAGAAGGCATGCCGTAGCTAAAATGAATGAATACCTACTTCTGAGTCATATGTAATAATTTTATATAACGTGTATATTTTTTGCCAAAAGCTTAAAGACATAATACTAGGCATACAGTAGACATTAATGAAGCTTATTGACTTGAATTATGGACATAGTCATTGTTGGGTGCCATTCATGTTGCAAATGCACCGTGAGATCCAGGTGTATGCAGGGACTGTAAGTGATCAGACTGTACGAGGTGGAAGTCATTAAGGCTGTGGTTGGTTCCACCCATCTGTTCATCACTGAGATCACAGGTAAGGCATTTAGTTCCTAGGACACTGTCATTGAAGATTCTGGCTAATGCCAAAAGGATTACACAACAAACTGTAACCTGAAAGAACGTCACCGAAAGGTTACATTTGACATCAGCAAGTAAATTATTGGCAGAGTCGCCAAGTAGTCATAGGTGCAAAAGTTCACCCAAATAGCTTTACGACAATCTGGGGAAGTTCATGGAAGTGTGCTTTTTACCAGGTATGCTTGTTTTAAAGCATCAGAAGAAGTAATAAATAATTTTTATGAATAAGTGTGTCATTCATTCATTCATTCATTCACTAAATGCTTACGGAGTATGCACTATGTGCTGATGCCAAATCTTGTCCTAGGCACCGGAAATCAAAGTGAAAAGTGCAGGGAAAGCTCCTGAGACAATTAGTTCTAGAGGGGGCGAGGAAACAATAAACTAGTAAATAGACACACGCTGATTCAGACAGTGAGAAGTATGTTGAAGAAAGCAAAGCAAGGGGATCCAACAGAAGAAAACTCTGGGGCAGAGTAGCCCGGGCAGCTACATAAAGCCTGACTGGGTGATATCGGAGGGAGACCTATAGGCTACAATGGAGGGATCTAGGCACAGAGGACTCCAAACAGAAAAAAACCAGCAAGTATAAGCTGGACTTATTCAAGAAAATAAAAGAAATAGGCCGATGTGGCTACAGCACACATAGCTATAGTCTGTGGGGGAGCGCGGACAAGGCTAGGAAAAATTTGTATAGAACCTTCTAGGCTGTGGTGAGGATTAACGGTTATATTGAAAGTGCAACGAAGGCCCGAAAAGCAAAAGGCCGCCCGGTTCATACAATGTTTCTCTCTTTCATCTATGCTTCTCTCCCTCTCTGTCCCCGTCCCTCCCCCTTTCTCTAAAAATAAATAAAATCTTTAAAATAAAAACTCACTGGAGAGTTTTAAACAGAAGCATGAAATGATCTGGTTATGTTTATTTATAAAGACTTATTTATTTATTTATTTATTTTTAGAGGGGGGAGGAAGAAAAAGAGGGAGAGAGACACAGTGTGTGGCTGCCTCTCACACCCTCCCTGCTGAGGGCCTGGCCTGCAACCCAAGCATGTGCCCTGACTGGGATTCAGACTGGCAGCCCTTTGGGTTATAGGCCGGCACCCAATCCACTGAACTACACCAGTCAATGTTGGTTGTGTTTTCAAAGGAACACTCCACTGTTGTTTAAGGAATGTGTCATTTTGGGGTTGTGCAGGAGAAACCAGCTGAAAGCTTTTGTGGCAGTTCAGGTGAGACATGGTGGAAGTTCTGGGATCATAGTTATAGCCATGGGGAGGGAGAGAAGTAGATGAACTGAAGATATATTTTGGAGGAGGGGACAACGTGACTCGCTAACTAAGTGCATGTGGGGGTGAAATAAGGGGACAAAACTAAGAATTCCTATGTGGTACACCTGACACTCTGTATCAACTGTCATTGGGAAATAAATTAATTTAAAAAAAGAGATAAAAAGAGGACGACTTTTAATTTTTGACTTGACCATCCAATCCAGGCGGAGCAATCTGAAGAGGAACAAGTTTGGAGGGGGTGGATATCCGGAGATCTGCTTCTGAGATGTCTGTTAAACACAATAATAGTATCTACCTTGTAGAAGAAGTAAGAAATGTATGCAAACAGTGAGATCAATACCTAGCACACAGTGCTTGTTCACTAATTACTAACTATTATAATTACCCTCCCAGTGCAGTTGCAAAGGTATTAAGGACCTAAAAGATTCTGTGAGAGATCAGGACAGAAGATACCATCTGGGAGTTTTGTAGATTCAGTGCTGCTCAAGCCATTTTCGGTGAAGGATTTTTATTTTTAATGCATCATGAACCAATACTTTTGTAAAACGCAACAAACACGAATGATTTTACAAACAAAAGAAAGCATACCAAGTACAGTTGGCTGATGTGCTTTGTGGCCAAGGCAACACCAAATATAAGTTTCTCAATCTTACTCTCAATTTCTGTACTTACCCCTTGTGTCACACAGACCAATAAGAAACAACTGGCAGACCAAAACCAGCCCAGGAAACACACTTTGAAGAGCAGTCACACTCATAATAGAACTAGAGAAAGGGGGCCCTGGAACAAACGCTGGGGCATATCTAACTCAAGGGTGGGGGGGGGCGGGGGCGGGGGCAGAGGGCTGTTCACTAAAGCAGTCTGAAGCAATCCCGGAACTTGAGTGGATGAGCTCACAAGCAAGGGATAATCATATGTATTTACGAGTGATCAGTTGCAAATAGGTATGAGAAAAAAGCCTCATCATTCCTACCAGGAACTCGCCCCTCTTCCCACAGATGACACATCTGAAGAAACACACCCGCTTCCGTAATTCACCCTCACAAACACTTCAGTCTAATCATAGGAGACGCAATCTAGCGCTCAGGATGCATTAAGTATCCAAAGCGCCTCCTCTACCAAGCTAGGCTCCGCTTGTGAAGACAACAATGATCGGATATGATAGCTACCGAGCCGTCCCTGTCCCTAAAGGATGCTCCCAAGCCTCAACACCTCTGTCAGTAATTCAAGACTTGCCTTATCGTGGCTCTGTCACTCAAAACTCTGTCTCCAGGGGGCCAGGCGCCTGAAACCGAACATATGCCCCAGACCAGAGGGCACCTGGAATAATTCTTAGGGAAAATGGTCAGATTTCTGGGGAAGGACGTCAACAAAGTAAGGGACTCTCCATACAGTCCAGCCTTTGGTATGCAAGACTTGTTTAACTTCACACATTCTTGGACCCAACCCCCACCCTCTGGACCCCGCCACAGCAGTGCTGTTCTGTCCCTGAAAGACGTCCTCTGGTTTCAGGAATTCTCCTCCAGGGCTTGAAAAAATAACTCGGGCTGCGGATGAACTTGAAGTTGGAGGAGCCTGGGGCCAGAGCCTCTAATCAAGAAAGACTCCCTGGTTTCCACGGCTCCCGCGAAGCTCCGGACCCGAGTCTCCGGAGCCCGAAGCCCCACCGGAGACTCCCCGCACCGTGGGCGCGGGACGGTGGCGCTCGCGGGGGCCGGGCCAGCGGGCGAGGGGCGGGGCTGTGATTCCCGCGGCCGAGCGCCAGGGGGAAGAGGCGGCTCGGAAGACACCGCTCAGCGAGGGGCTGAGCCCGCCTCGGAGGCGCATGCGCGCAGCCGAGCGGCTCCGGCTCCCTCCCCGCCCACCGCTCCCTTTCCCCCGCCTCCCCTGCATCCTCGCCTCGCTCCCTCTCTCCTCGCCCGCTGGGTGCTGAAGTTGGACGGATGGCAGCGAGCAGGCTCCGCTAGAGGACCGAGCAGCCCAGCCTAGCGCCCCCGGACCTGTCCGTGCGCTGCCCGCACCTCCAGGCTCCTGGGTAAGATGTTGCCACTGAAGCCGAGCGGTGCTAAGTAAATGACAGCAAAATGTCTGCTTTGCACCGATGGATGGATTTTTTAAAGGTGGTGGGAGAGGGAGATGAAGGCTGGAGGGGGCGGAGAGTGCAACTGCCAATGCCCAGGTGGGGGAGGCTGCCGTGCTGGGGTCTCGGAGCTGCCCGTGGCGCCCGGGCAGGGAGGGGGGCCGCACCGCAGGTTTGGGAAGTTGAATCCCGCGTTGTTGCCTCTGCTCCATCCGCTCGCTGGCCCCGGTGTTGCGGGACGACTGGCAGAGTGTCCTGCTCGCCCGGGGAACCCTTGATCGGGTCTCTAGAGGGGAGCTGAGCGCCTTCTGGTGACTGACAGAGAGGGCTACGCTGGGGGCGGCGGAGACCCCGCGGGGGCGCGAGATCCTGCGGGGTTTTTCTGGTTGGTTGTTGGAAAACCGAACGTGAAATTAGCAGTGTCCAATCCACCGATCACCTGGGGCGGAAATTTTTTTTTCTTTACCTTTGGTAAAAATGCATTATTTCAGGTGGGGAAGGTGTAAAAACAGCATTGCAAAAACGCATACCTTCAGCTTCTGAGGTGTCCGTGTGGGTAGGGGGTGGGGGTCTCTTTTGTTCCTTCCCCTCCTCCTAGTCGAAGGAAAAGCAGCTCCTGTGTGCTCGGCTCGGGGTAGATTCACTGCCGCGGAGGGGACGAGGAGGAGGAACGCCCACCCAAGCCCTAGCCGCTGCCCGGGTGGGTGGACTCGAGACTCCCTAGCTGTGGGTGATGATGATTCTTTTTATTATCGATGGATCACAGTGTATAGCTGCCTCCTCGCCAGCCTCCCTCTTCCTCTCCTCTGCTTGTGCTGCGGCAGAGGCTGGGCGCAGACACTCGGCGGTTTCCTCCCCTTCTTGCTACCTCCCGGTCTCGGTGGATCGTGTCGGAGGGCTAGAGGATGGCGGAGGGACGGAGCTGGCCTCGGGGCCCCGGTTGCTGAGATGCCCCTCAGGAGCGGGAGGTTGCTGGCAGGGTGTCCGGGGCAGCCCGCGCTATCCTCGCGAGTCCTTGGGCTCTTGGAGGCAGAGGCGGGGTCGCCTGGTCAAAAAGTCCCCTGCTCGGGGACCCGCCCTGCACCCCGAGCTTCCATCGGAACCCCGGACACTCGCTCACCTGGGCAATCCGCGTAGCTCTGGCAAGGCTGCCGCTGGCTCCTGGCATAGTTGCCTCACCTCCACGACCCTTTGATAAATGTATCCTTCTTTAAGAGTCACTGGAAGGTTTGTCTAGAGAACTTTGCAAGCTTCCCATGGCAGTTTCATTTTTTAAAATTGCTTTACAGCGACATTATTTCCACCGTGGGATGGCTATCGCAAATAATAAAGAGGAATCTTGTAGTTAGGTTCCCATCTAGAATAAGCATTTCTGAGCCGGGATGGCATCTACATTTCCGGCGTTCACACACACTGGTTTTCTTTCTGAAAATCATTTAATTGGAGAAATGAAACACAATTTTTACGCTAGTAATAAAAAATAATGTTTTCCGCCTGGTTTCATAGCTGCTAGACACTGTGTATTAATTTTGGAAACTGGAACATTTCAAGTTCTGTTTGTTTCTAAAGTTCTTTGTAGGAGTAGTAGCAGGTATCCATGGAAAATATACATTATAGCACTAAAATCTAATGAAAAGCTGATTTGTACTCACTAATTCAAAGGAATGAGCAGTTTGATCTCCAGTTGAGTTACTATTATTAACCTATTTCCTCTGTTAGCAGTAAACTAAAACAGTAATTAGCACACTCAGGGGACAGTAGATTTATTCACTATTTTTGTAATCTTAAAAACTATTTCGAGAGAAACTATGGAAGGGTAGTTTATTGGCAATTTTTGAAGATGAGGAAAGCTAGTGTTTATTATTACAGAGTATTGGGTGGTATCATTTATGAAATAAGCTCAGTTTCCGGGGGAGTGACACCCCGATCTCAGAACCCTGGGCATTCACCCATCATCCCGAATTTATAATCTGAAACATTACGAAAACCACTTGATTCACAGAACAAATCACATAAGATGTTGTGCCAGTTTCTACCCTTTTTGCTCCAGTTCATCAGCTCTTCCTTGGTATTTAGTCCCCGTGGAATGGAATTAACAAGGCGAGTTCATTTGACCTTACTGTATTGGCCAGCTCTGAATTCGAATCTAAAATAATTCGAGTTGACTCAGACTAAAAGGTAAGGAAGCATTTACCTGGTAGTTTACACTTGTAGAGACAGACAGTGGTCTTTGTCTTAGAAACTAATTTGCTGAAATATATGGACTTTTCTAGAAAAGTAAAAGGTGGGCATGGACAAAGTATGGAGGCCAGAGGGATGGGAATACTTCCAACCGCCATTCTGCTGAGAATCCCTTTTCTGATAGTCCAGCCCTGCTTACTTAACAGTGAAGACACTGCACCCCCCAGAAGTGCAGGTGCACAGGCCACTGTGTACCCAGTGGATGAGATGAACACTATGTGATGTTACAAGGCATGTATTTAATCTGATTACTACAGTTTGAGTTTAAGTATGAGTGCATTTACAGGCTTAAAACTGTACGACATTTCCAGAGAGATGTCTGGGATCCTCAGAAGTATTATAAATTTCAGCCCTGGTGGGTGTGGCTCGGTGGATTGAGCGCTGGCCTGTGAACCAGAGGGTCACCAGTTCAGTTCCCAGTCAGGGCACATGCCTGGGTTGAGGACCAGGTCCCCAGTGGGGGGCATGCTAGAAGCAACCACACATTGACATTTCTCTTGCTCTTTCTCCCTTCCCCTCTCTCTAAAAATAATTGAATAAATAAATAATCTTAAAAAAAAAGAGTTCAAATTCTGGAGTCAGGCAAACCTGGATTCCCAGCCCTGTTTTGCCTTGGAAGGAAGGAAGGAAGGAAAGAAGGAAGGAAGGAAGGAAGGAAGGAAGGAAGGAAGGAAGGAAGGAAGGAAGGAGGGAAGGAAGGAAGATTATAAGTTCTTATGGAAAGCTTAAAAAAATAAAACAATCCTTTCACGTAGGTAGCAGAATTTTTAGGGCTGGATTGAGGATACTCTCATTTTCCCATCTCTTTCCATCTCCACGTATCCCTCCAAGACATTCCTAATAGCCAAGGGAAGTCTTTCAGACCACTGTTCCTGCCATTGTGCCCGCACCTAGCACAATCTTTAGCAAAAGCCAGGTGTTAGATAAGTATTTCTTAAATGGATAAATTCTGCACAATGGACATGGTTCACAAAAGTCATCTAGGATTTGGGATTATATTTTTTAAAAGAATGCTCATGCTTATTATGAAGTACACTAGTTTGAGATCTTAAAGATCATGTCCACAGCCCTACATCTTTTGAGGAAGTCGTTTTTAGAATTGTCACTTAGTCAGTAAGCATGTTTTTAGTATAAGATTTATATTATTGATTTGTTTACTAATTATAAAAGCAACACATGCTCATTTTGATCCCCTGGGACAGATTAAACAATCTATAAAACACAAAGTTTAAATTCCCTGTGGGGAGGCATGGATGTGATGAACATGAGCTTTGGGTCAAGCTGACCTTGGCTTGTGTCCCGGCTCCTCCATTTAATAGCTCTGTCACCAAGATCAGGGGATCCCCAGTTTCCTCAGATACACAATAGAGGTAAAGACCCGCCTCCCAACATGTGGGTAGCCTGGTCTGAGTACTTACAATCACTCTAATGCCTTATGAACCACTATTGAAAATACTGGGCGGTTTACCACCAGCTCATTTCCTATGCATAAATGGACTTTTTTTAAGAGTTGGAATCCTATTGTAGAACTTCATATTTGCTTTTTAAAAAATTAGCAATACTTTGCTGGTGTTGCCCAAGAAAGTGAAATTGGTATTTTTTAATAGAATTTAGAGACTGTGAAATAATTCATCTTATGGATGTCTTCCTTTATCTAGCCATTCTTTTATTTTTGAATTTTTATTTTATGTCCAATATTTTACAGTTTTAACCTATATGCATCCATATATATGGGTTTTGGCTGTCTATCTGTATGGTATTTTTTTTTCCTATTAGCTTCGATGGTTAGAACATCTAACACTTGCCAGCATGATACCTTCTTTTTAAATATCCTGGCTCACTTGATGGGTAAAAAGTATGTTTTCTAAACTTTTATTTCTTTGGTTATTAAAAATGCTAATTAAATTTTTGACATGGTTATAAGGACAAACAATTTTAAGGCTGGCTTGTTCAAGTCTTTTGCCCATTTTTCCATTGGTATTCTGATACACCTTTCTTATTCATTTGAGTGCTAGTGTTAATTTTTTAAAAAAAGGCAAAAGCCAACATTGGAAAGTGCGTAGTGACAAAGAAGACACGTGGCAAAGGCTTCGGAGTTCACTGTGGCTGAAGCAGACTCCCGCTCCGACGGAGCCGAGCAAACATTGTCAGAGGCCGCAGGTGCATCGGCCGTGGGATTAGGCTGCCGTGGTGTCCATCACCTACTGCCACCTGCCACCGTGCCTGGGCTTTCCAAAGGGCACAGTTGCTTTCACAATCATCACTTAATGGTTGGGGTCTGTCATTTGTCTCCTTGGGCACTGTGCACACGCACTCACACCTCACTGTGAATGTTGGTACGCAAGGAGCTCTCAAATTTCCATGGATTGTTTCTGCCAGTAGTCAGATGACAGACCATTTGAGTTTTCCTGAAATAAATGAAATTGAAAGGAAACATGAGAGTGGATGGAGGTCCTACAGAGCATTCATTGAACGTTCTCATCAGAATGAAATCAATTACGTTTAATTACAAAACCATGTCAGATTAGAATCATATCGCAAATTTTAAGCTGTAGGTGAAATTTAAATACTTAAAAGGTAAAAATCAAATCTAGTCTCTTAATGAGGTCCATATGTGTCGTGCTTCCCATGATTCAGGGCTCTGGGAAGCTCCTGGTTTTGACACTTTTAATTCCACGACTTTTGACAAGTTTGGTTTCAAAAGCTTAAAGATT